CTGCACAATAGTTTGAAATAACAGTTTGAGATACTCATTAATCACGAAGACATTGGAATTAGATCAATGGGCATGAAGCTGGGGTATTCTTGAGACAGGGTGTGAGAGAGTTGTCTCTGTGGAGTCACAGTTGGAATTAAGCATTTAATTATCAGAGGAGCTTGCAGGCAATTTGTTCAATGCACATTAGTGCTTTTATATCTCCAACCTTCGTATTCCTCCTGAGATATTGAACAACAAGCTAAAATGATTAGGCTCCTTTAATTCCATTTGGGCATATGGTTTATACAACTCGCACAATTGACCACTCTGATAATTCTTACATTTAATACAGCTCCTTATCACTTCAAAACATCTCAAAGTACCTTGAAGAGTTGTCTGTAAAGTGTAGCGATTGTATATTTGTAGGTGATCGTGTTAGCCAATTTCAACATAGCAATGATCGTCAAAGAGCCACAAAGCGAACAATCACTTTTTTAATATTGGGGATAATTGGGACACTGGAAGAAACTCACTTTCTCTTTTGGAATTGTGTTACAGGATTTAAAGTCAAACTGACGAGGTAGACAGGACCTCAGTTTAATATCTCACCAGTGCCTTGGGTTGTCCTCCCAACGTGAAAGACGCTTTACAAATGTAATTTTATAGTTGTTGTTGAAGTACAATACAGTGCTCCCCAGCAATCCATTAGATTATCAGCCCATGCTATGAACTCCAAAATTCCCAGTTTGAACTCACAACAGCATCAACTTGATTTATATAGCGCCCTTCATGCGGGGTAGTGTCCCGAGCGTACAACCCTCTAACTCTGAAGCGAGAGCATGAGCGACTGAGACAGGCTACCAGATAATAATAATAATCCTTGCATTTGATATAGTGCCTTATCACGTCTTCGAGACGTTTCAAAGCGCTTCACAGAATATACTGTAAAGTGAATTGACTGTATATTTTGTGGGTGAAACGTAGAAGAACTTGAGCCAAAGTTCCCTTTTGGTTTCAATTGTTATTCTCAGAATTTTGCCCTGTGTTAATGATCATAGTGTTGTTGATATGGCGTACAATCAGTGTTAGCAGCTCGCTGGCAGACTTGTAGCAGCAGAATGCTTTCCCTGAGATTTCTCCAGGGCTGTGATCTGGCACTGAGAATGTGTTTTTGGAAGAGTCAGTCTGCCTTCATATCTGTTGTGGTGAGGTGGTGAGATCTGAAATGTTTGGACTGTTTTTCTGGAATAGAGTATGTTAAATGGGAAAATCTATTAGAGGGTTTTGGAATGAATAATGGCTTTGATACGGAAAGATTATTTTCACAGAACGCAACAAGAGGATTATGCATAGAGGGGAGTGGGACTAGTTTGGTAGTTCTTCCAAAGATTTGGCACAGGCACAATGGGCCAAATGGCCTCCTGTGCTGTAATCTATAATTCTAGGAGGGCATTCATTGAGCATTATCACCATTAAAAGGAGAGGAGGTTTGGGTGTAGCTAAAAAAAACTCAGCCCATCTGATCTCAACTTTCCAGAACCTCCCCCCTCCTCCCATTACAACATCGAACTGTTTTTTTTAAATGTTACAGTAGCTGCAACCACTATTTCTTGGTTCCAGTTAATACCCCTCTGGGTAAAGAAAAACTTCCTGGTGTCTGCCCTGAAATTGCCCTTTGCAATTCTAAACCTATGTCCTATTGTTCTATGTCTTGACAAATGTAATAATAATAATAATAATTCTTGCATTTGATATAGCGCTTTTCACGTCGGGAAGACATCCCAAAGCGCTTTACAGAACACACTGTAAAGTGAATTGACTGTATATTTGTGGGCGAACGCGGCAGCCAATTGCGCACAGCAATGTCCCACAAACAGTCGTAGATTGAAAATGACCAATTTATTATTGTTTTTGGTTTTGGAGGATTATTATTAGGCTCTGTGTGGAGTAAGGAAACTTGCCCAAGGTTTCGCCCTCTGCCTAGAATTGAACTCAGGTCTCTCACTTGCAAAGCGAGTGCTCTAACCACTGAGCTACAGGACTCCATGCGTAATAATCCTCGCGTTTGTATTGTTCTTTCTCAGTCCCATATAATATTTTGTATATTAGTATAAGGTCCCCTATGAGACAATTCTTTTCAAGATTGAAGAGCCCTAGCTTTCCTAATCGCTGCTCAAAGCTCATTCATCTACCGCTGTGCATCAGCATAATAATAATAATAATAATAATAATAATAAAATCCCTTGCATTTGATATAATGCCTTATCACGTAATTGGGACGTCTCAAAGCGCTTCACAGAGGGTAATCAACAACTGGAACGAGGTTGCCAGGAAGGGTGGTTGAGCCCAGGACACTGAACTCATTTAAAAAGCATCTTGATGCAGTGATGGGGTAGGATGGGTGTACTGTGGGAATGAGATCGGATTATCTGAAGGGCCTTCTTCATCCAGGCCAGCATGGTCAGGCAGCACCTAGAGTACTGTATACAAAACTGTATACAGATTCTGATTGCTGCTATATAACAACAACTGACATTTATATAGTTCTCTTCATGCAGGATGGCGTCTCGGAGCGCTTAATGTATAAGGGCTGCCAGGCCCTTGAGGCAGTGCAACAAGGATGGTCCTTGTGGCTGTATAGAGACATTGGTGCATGGAAATTGGCTAACATGATTATCTACACATATACAGTCACTACATTTTAATCCACGACTATTTGTGGGATACTGCTGCGTGCCATTGACTGCCACGTTTCACCCACAAAATATGCAGTCAATTCACTTTACAGTGTATTCTGTGAAAAGAAAAACTTTCTCTGCCGCTGCTGGTTTATTAAATTCATGTTTCCTAAGAAGTGCGCCTGGTGGAGAGCTGAGGTGTGAGTAATAAAGAGATGCTGGAGAGGCACGTCATCCTCATTTATCATATTCTTCTTAATGTAATGTGCCATTGCAGGAATACATAGCCATCAATTGTCAACTGTCTTGACTGAATTGCCCAAAGTAATGCTTTATGTCGAAAAATGTGAGCATTCAGCAGCATATGCTGGCATCTTGACCTGTAACTGTACTGCAGGGGGAAAAATCTTGCACAGTGTACTGCAATATGATTTGCTACCTTACATTAAGAAGTACACGCATTTTCCCCACTTGTAGGTAAGCAATATTCTAAGTGTTGACTTGGCTTATATTCTGCATGTGAGAATTACTATGAAGGCTAAATCAAGAGGAAACTGATCTACTCTAATTGTCGGCTAAATTGGCAAATCCCACGTAATCTGACACAGGTTAACTGCCCTGACAGCTAATTCCCTGCCTACTTCTCTGTGTGACAATGCCATCTCCCCTACTGCCCTCCAATTGTTGGCATGACAGCCCAGTGAAACAACTAGTGTATGGTGCCATTCTGATTATATTGCTTCCACTTTCCTCTCCCCTTCTCCGTTGCTTCATTGAGAAACCTCTTGATGATAAGGTTGGAAGATGAGATCAAGTTGGCTTCCAATCTTCAAAGGGGGTATAGAAAGATTGCAGAAATTAAAGTTAACTTCCGTGAAATGCCTTTTCAATTCTGAGCACTTAAAAAGGAGAGCCTTAAAGCCAAGTTTATGTGGAGTTACAGTAAGATCGACCATGACTGCTTCAAAGGAATAATTGTGTTAAAATCGATGTCTTGCCTGAGAACGGCTGCCCGTGATGTGTGTGTTTTCCTGTGTGGCAAACACAGCTCTTGGACCTGGTTTCTTTGTCCCTCAATTGGTCTTTCATCTCTGACAGTCTGCTTTGCTCTATTCCCAAGAATATTTGATCAAAGTGTTGGAAGCATACAGCCAAATGCTGTGGGCTACATGTCAGAGTAACAGGACTGGGAAATGAGTTTCCGATTCAGACACAGAAAGAGAGAAAGTAACGATGCAAACGATGCAGACTGGTCAGCTTTCTGCTGCTCACATGAATGTTCCTTCCTCCATTGAGTGTTCTTCCCTACTCAACAGTAGGTTGATCAGGACTAGGTAAAGGGTGAGGTCAACCAAGGAAAATTGATGCTTTAAATCACAAAAGTAATTCACACTCCTTCCCTGGCTTTGCCCCATTCTACCTCTGCCACTTCCTGCAACCCCATCGACTCTGCCATGCCCTCTGCTCAGTAAGCCCCCACCTACTTCATGCTCGGTGTGCACATGGGTGACCAAAAAGTTGCGATAATTATTATTTAAAAACAAAAAATCATGATTTCTTTAACACTTATTAGACATTGTAATGGTACCATGACTTTAGTCACTCTGTATGATTAGCTGTTGGCAAACAGGCTGTGTCCACCCCTGGAGAAGAGATTGCACACTGGGTCTGGCAAATGTAAAGTGCTTTGTGAGGTTCAGTTACTAGAAGTGGAGCAAATTAAGAACCACAAAGGATCTTGGGACCTCAGATACAACAACAATAACAACTTGCACTTATATAGCACCCTCCACAGAATAGCATCTCAGAGCACTTAACAGTGTCGGAGCCTGACTCTGGGGAGGGGTGGGGTGGATGTAAGCATGGTCCAAGAGGAAGATTTTCAGGCAGAACTTGAAAAGCGGGAGAGGGGGAGCAAGGCGGAGGGATTGAGGGAGAGTATTCCAGAGTTATGGGGTGTAGTGGCTGAAAGAGCAAACTCCAATGGTGAGGCGGAGGGTGCGAGGGACGAGCAGGAGACCAGGAGACCTCTTGAGCAGAGGCACCGGGTGGTGAATTGGTGAGTGAGGATGTCAGAGAGGTAGGGAGGTGCCAGGGGTGAAGCGATTTGAACAGGATAGAACTAAGATTAGTTCTGCAGGTAATGTTAATTCTTTCACAGTTACATAGAGTGATACAATATGGAAACAGATAATTCGGCCTAACTGTTCCATGCCAAGTCCCAGCCCCCCACAATTCCCCTCACCTATGCCCCTCTCTTCCCTTCTCCCTCATGTATGCATCAAGATTTCTCTTAGATACACCACCAACAACAAAATGCATGTGACTGTTTTATTTCAGATCAGCAAGTTGGAGACATTCCAGTACTTAACCACCTCCACTATCGGCCTGCTGCCCTCTCAGATTCTCAACTCCTACATGGGCAGCACAGTCAGGTCACTGGAAGATGTCGTCAATCACCAGGGGGTGGAAGGCTACCTTGTGTTTGCATTGCAGGTAAGATTGCCAACAAACAGCAATTCAAATAACCAATCCCAGCTACCAGGCTATCAGTGTCCTTTAATAATACTAATCCTTGCATTTGATATAGCGCCTTATTAAGTCGTTGAGACGTCTCAAAACGTTTCATAGAATTTACTGTAAAGTGAATTGACTTTGAAGATAAAGTGCTCAAGATTTTGCCGAAGAGTCCAGGTGACCACCTGCCAAGCTTAGAATAACTCTCTTACTTAGTCCATGGGCTTGATTTATACAGAGCTTCTCAAATGCAATTTATTTACCTGTCTCCATCACTTTCTTTCCTCAGTGGATTCTATAATGAACTGAGAATCCAAACAGAATTCTTCATTCAATAGAAGATTATATGGGAGGGAGTTCCTGTCAGTTGGTGGGTCCTTCATTAAGGGATGCAGTTTGAAATTGCTGGGTTTTAGACAGCATTGTTACAACAAGTACTCTCCTCCAAGTCAGCAGCAATCTGCAGCCTGGATGAGTGGGGTGCTGTCAAGTCCCTCACTGAAGGCTTGCTGTTTCTGGGCAGGAGGCAGAGAGGCGAAGAGCGAGAGGGGATTTATGCATGAGACAGGCAGATTTTGTCCCTTCGGGACACCTCGCATTTGGAATTAGAGGTAAGGATGGGGGTGGGGAGGGAAATGAGAAGGTGCTTTGTAAAGGGAAAAGGGAACTTGGAATTGCTTTGGAGATGGATTGACTGTGTATTTTGCCCACGGAATGCATAGTCAATTCACTTTACAGTATATTCTATGAGGCGCTTTGAGACATCTCAATGACATAATAAGAGTCTATATCAAATTAAAGGATTATTATTATTATTTTTGTTGTAAAGAGGTGGTGCTTTGGAGGTGGTTGAGCCAGATTTGGTGGTTGCCTGCTAGGCTGGTTTTATGCCATCTGCGATTGAGCACATGGAATCTGCATTTGAGCGAGAAGAAGTGGTGATAGTACCGGTGGAGAGGGTGTTGGGGTTGGGAGATAGTTTTGTATTTCGGGAAGGCAAGTGTGTTAAATGTGAAGGAGACACAGCCATTCAGCAGCTTGCAAACCCTTTAGTGCCTTGGAATGACCTCCTGACGTGAAAGGTGCTAAATAAATTAAATTTTTTGTTGTTGTTGTCATTGATGGTCACTGCAGTTTGAGGACCAGAGGGAGAGAAGGTTGGAGGACAAGAGAGGATGTTTGAGAGGGACTGAGGTGGAAGGCTTTTCCAGAGTTTGGCAGAGGAGAGGAGGATGTGAGAGGACAGAGAGGAGATGTGTGAGGAAGCGGTTGGAGATAGCCTCGTCAGTGATGGCGAGCTCAGAGATGTTGATGATGTCATGACAAGATGGAGGGGGTGGCCGCAGTTTGTGGGTGTGGAAGTTTATACGGAGGGTGATGTCATGGGAGGAGAGCAGAGAAATCAGAAGAGATGGGGCAGGAAGAGCTATGGTAGAGATTCAAGTTGACCGTGATAAGAAGGTGCCCAGGAGAGTTAACTAGTGCTGTGTGTGATTACAAAGTGGTACTGACCCTGTGGCATGGCTATGAAAAACAGAACCATGTCAGTATATTCAGAATACAGCGTGCATCGTTGACAGAGTGGAAAGCGAGTTCTAGGTTAATTACAGGATTCAGAGGACCAATCCTGATTGCTCAAGCACCTGAATTCCAGCTCAATTATCCAAAATCCTGCATGTCAGAGTAGCCCAGACACAATGTCTATCTGTGCAGAAAATTTCCATTGTTATACTGTGTCCCTCAGAGACCTCAGTCCCACCTGCAAACCTACCTCTTCAACCGTGCCTCTGGCCGCCTCCCCCTAACCCCTTTCCCTTGCTCAGACACATTTCGATTGTAGAGCATGTCAGTCAGTGTTCTGGTTGAAGGACTGAACAACTCCAATTTGAGAAGCCAGTGAAGTATAAATGCACCACCAAACAATTTCCTGTCAAGCACTTTGTCGTTTGACAATATAGTAACAATCTCTGCAATCGATACAGCGTCACATTCTCAAATTGCTTCAAAGGATTTACTGTCAAGTGCAGTTACTGTATTTGTAGAGGAACGCAGCAGCCAATTTGCACACAGCAATGTCCCACAAGCAGCCAAGAAGTGAGTGACTTTTTTTAACCCAGGGAATTGGTTACAAAAGCATTTACTGTTCAGGACACTGGGAGAAACTCCTTCTCTTTTCCAATTGTGCCATAGGATTTTTAACACCAGCTTCTGACCCAGAGGCAAGAATGTTACCAAGTGATCCATTAGAGAGAGCTCATCCCTTTCACTTCATTAATCTGAGTTAGTTCGTATGAGAGTGACAAGGTGATTCTTTGGCGGGTTAGATAACAGATTTCTTGCCTTTCTTTCCCCAACCCCAGATCCTCATCAGTGTTGGAATGATGCTGTACTTTGTACGACGTGCCCGGCACGAGCTCAACAACACCATCAAAGCACATGATGCCAACAAACAAGAGGGCATGCTGGAGAACGGGAAGGACAGAGACGACGTGGGAAGGACTAATGTTGCCTCAGACATGGACCTTGTGTGACCACGCTGAACTATAAACCCAGATACCAGCTGGCTGCCTGGGAGGCATGCCAATGTAAGGTAGCAGATTTGCTCCTGGTTTGCAGAGAATGGGCACCAATGGAGTGTATTCTCTTTGTGCCAGAGTGGCATAGCAGGTGGTTTCATGTCTGAATGTCTTGACTATTGATACTGGGGATCTCTTTGCTCTCAAAGCCAGGAGGGCAGGAAGTGAAAGGATTGCAGATGGATCCTGCACAGATCATTGTTGTAGTGAGACTGTCAGCTGGTCAGTGCGAGGGTTGCAATGGCTTGATCCTCGAACTGGGGTGTCTCAGGATTCCAGACGCTTTTCCAGAACATCACTTTCCTATAATCCCTGACTGTCTTGTTGGTATTTGTGTGCAGGTGATTTATGAAGGCTCCATTCTGCTCACGCACACCAGGTTCACTCTTATCCTACCTGCTTCCAACAGGGAATTGAGCTTGCCATCGGGCAGTGAGCCAGTCTGAATCCCAAGCCCTGTACATTCCACCAGCTGACACTGCGCACAGTGTTCCAATGCCGTGGCGAGGTGGCTGTGTGCAGAGGAGAATGTGTGTATTGAGGAAATACTGATTTATCATTGATGAATGACGAGATTTCGACAGCGAGGACGGGTTGCTCTGAGGAAACCTATTGCCCTGATTTGCCTCATAACCCTTTATGTAGAGAAATATCTGTACAAGGTAATGCATTCAAATTTTATTTAGTGGGTTGAGACTGGAGGCTTTGCCAGAGTCTTGTGTAACAGGCAGGCAAATCACAGATATCCCCTGGATAAGGGATGCTCCAGTAATCTTAAGACAGTATTTAAAGGTCTGCACAGACTGAGTTGCAGTTGATGGCGTTGACTGTGAGATTCCCACAGGCGCAGTGCGGAGCTTGGCTGCCTGTCTTCTGTGCAGCGTTTGTTTTGATTCAGGATGTTGAGGTTGCAAACACCATTTTGACTGACCGATGGAGCTTCATTTAGCTCAGTGCAATGGGGATTGGTGATTGTCAGTAATATTTGAAAAAATGCTAAAATTATTCTGAACTCAGAATTTAATTTTTGGTGAGACGGGTGTCTGACATATGACATATGTCTGAGGGCAGACAAACTTAGAGCTGACCTAGAAATGTGGACGGTTAGTGTAGAGGGCGCTTTACTCTGTCTCTAACCCTTACCTGGGAGTGTGGATACACAGTGTAGAGGGAGTGACCTGCACTGGGTGCCCAGAATTTTCCGACACCAACATCCTTCATCTTATTGAGGAAAATATGTTTTTGAGGAAGGAGTGAGAAGAGAATTGGCCTTTTAGTGGGTCTGCAGTACTCCAGGGCACTGCTGCTGGCTCATTGGACATGAAAAGGCAGATCAGTCACTGGGGGCAGGGAGTCTTGCCACTCAGCTCCTGTTAACTCTGCAAGCCGATGCCTTAACGGGGAGGGTGGTCCTAGCTGCACAAGCAATGGGAAAGCTTGCCAGACCTCGCCCTCAAGGCAAGCTATGCAGTTTTAGCTGATTAGACTCCAGCGCAACGCACACTTTGGGCCCCCAAGCCTTGGCTCTTGCCAATCTGCATCTAATACTTTCTGGAATTAGGTAAACAGGATGTGTCCCTCCAGGGAGAGAGAGAGAGAGCGCATTCCATTCCAACAATTTGTCTCTGTGGTTTCCACGTGTAGGTGGGATGCACGGAATTCTCAGCTTGGTTTGGAAACTCTTAATCACGGTGACGGGTTTCCGTGTTTGTCAGACACCCGGCCGGACAAAACAAATCACGTAACAAGTTACAAGAGAGATTCACAGAAAAGATAACCAATCAGGGTTAGGCAATGCTTCCTTAATGAGAGACGGGAAAAGCAGCCGGACCCTGTCTGTGCCTGTAGCCATGTTTGTGTCTGTATCTGTAGGCCAAGCCGAGTGCTGTGCCTGCACCTGTGCTGCTTTGTTGTTGGTGTGTGACCCTGTACCCTTTATCTCCTCAGCTGACGATCAGTCACTGCCTTGAGAGTGTAATGCACAGACCTCAGCGGCCCTGCCTTCCTGTAAGACATCAATCCAAATTCCAGCACGCTTCCCTCTCCTTCCCTGACTCCAGGCCCACCTGAGTATCCCAATTCCAGGATTTACAGAGAACACAGCCCAGCTCCCCACAATGGAGGGTATAACCTTTCATGTATATCATTGCAACCACCAGCAACGAAGCCTTACATTAGAGTGAAGGGAAGGGGATTTGCCTGCTAGAGCCACGGATCCCAGCTGAAGTGCCTGAGGTGATAGCATTGCCCTGGCAGACTAGCCAGGAGGACCTGAGTAATGGTTGACTGCCAGTACTGTAGGTGCAACAGATTTCTGTAGTGCAGTGACTGCCCAGTGAGCTGGTCACTGCTCTCTCTCTCTCTCTAGTGTGTTACCTGAAGTGCTGGCAGTTCGGAGGAGCTCTGAGGTTCCCGGGCTGACCACCTTTACTTAAATGCTTTTCAGCTCACGCTGATGCTGAAAAGGGCTGCGCGTATCAGTAATAATTCTATTGAAATGCCCAGACATGCTCTTAAATACTGTAAATATTCTTATACTGTATCAATAAAATAATTTTAAGTGCACAAATCTGCCCAGTCTTGTTTTTTTAATTAAGCACATGTGCTTCTATTCCCTTGTGCTTTCTACTGTATCGATCCCTGCCTTCCAGTGCCTTGGGACGTCTTGCTGATGTGAAAGGCGCTATACAACTGTAATTTGTTATTGTTGTATATTAAATATTAAATAACGATCCTTACATATGTGCGAAACGCAGCAGCCAATTGCGCTCAGCAATGTCCCACGAACAGTCATGCATTGAGTGACCAAATCATTATTTTTTTTTTGAAGAGATTATTACCCCTGGAAAGTGATCCACCACCGACAACTAGGTTCCTACTTACTGCTGGGCAAACAAAGACATATGGAGCAAGGAAACTTGCCCGAGGTTTCAGCCCGTTCGAGAATCAAGGCAATCGTGCTAACCACTACGCTGCAGGACTCCATACGTGTGCATTTGTTGTCCAGATGCTCTACATGACAGAGACACTGCTGAAGGCACAAGTCACCAAGGGGAATTGGGGTGAGGTTTCTCATCTACCACTCGGAGACCCAACTGAACCTTGCTTACTAATTAACGGTTCCCGATTGCCTTTTGACAATGGATGTGCCGTGCCTTCAGCTCCCCTCTCGACTCTCTTCCCCCTCCTTGCTCCCTCCCTTCCCTCCCCTCACCCTGACCATTTCCCCCTCCTTGCTCCCTCCCTTCCCTCACCCTGACCATTTCCCCCCTCCTCGCTCCCTCCCTTCCCTCCCCTCACCCTGACCATTTCCCCCCTGCTCGGGTCATGACCCAACTGTGCAGCGCCTTGGGACGTCCTCCTGACGTGAAAGGCGCTTTATAAATGGAATCTTGTTGTTGTTGTTGTTGATGGACCAATATCCAAAGTGGATACAATTGATAGGAAAGTGAATGGAAGAGTTTGGGAGGTTAGGCTGGATCTCTGCAGCAACAACAACAACTTGCATTTATATAGCGTCCCTATACATTGCGCCCCTCAACTTTGTCTAGACTGACATTTTAGTGCAGTGCTGAGGGAGCACTGTATTGTTGGAGATGCCGTCCTTTAGATAAAACGTTAAACTGAGGCCTTGTCTGCCTATTCAGGTGGATCTTGGCACAAAGATCCCGTGGTGTTACTCGAAAAGAGAAGGGAGTTTTTCTTTCTCCCAATGTCCTGGCCAACAATCCCTCAAATAAAATTGATCATTCACTTCATGGCTGTATGTGGGGTATTGGCTGCCGTGTTCACATACAAATATCCATTGATGACAACTCACCAGTAAATTCTGGTGAAATGATTTGAGATATTTTGATGCAGTGAAAGGGGCTGTAATCGAAATAGAAATTATTATTATTGACTTGACTTACTCACAACCACCCAATGCTCGTGGGATATAGCACAAGCTTCCACTAAACTGCCCGGTTTATTATTTAGTCCGATTAAAAGCTCAAATTGCATTCAATGTCAATAAGGAAGGGCACAAACATTCAATAAACACAAAAGCACATTGCGCTCTGCACATCTTGCTGGCATGTAGATTCTAGATTCATTAACCGTGAGGCTCCAATGCGGTTCCTGTTGTAACGTTAACAGGCGCAGTGTGGGTGTGTAATTACTGGATCGCTATAACTGTTCCTCTCAAACAGCCTTGTTACTGGGTGAGAGGTGCCAGCTTCCCTGTTTGGAATACACACTGTCCTGTGGAGGGCGCTGGATTACTGCCACACTGCTCAGCTCAGCGCAGACTGTTCCTTTAGCACCTTTCACACAGAGGAGTTTTTTGTCACACACAGGTGGATTTCCTCATTAACGCAGCCAAACCGAGATCTATGTCTCACAAGCACACACAGGCCTGCCTGCCACACAGCTTTATTCTCCAATGTGCCAGCCCCCTTCACAGCCCCACCAGCAGGGACTGTATTGGAAATATTTGCTAAATGGCTAATTCTGAAAGCCGTCAAAGTTGGGGTAGAAAAAGGCCAGAGAAACTTCCCCATCTCCTGATTCGCTATCTGGCAATTCGATGAGTTTTTTTTTAAAAAAATCATAATTTGGTCACTCAACCCACGACTGTTTGTGGGACGCTGCTGCCTGCTTTTCGCCCACATAATACAGTCAATTCACTTTACAGTATATCCTGTGAAGTGCTTTGAGACGTCTCGAAGACGTGATAAGGCGCTATATCAAATGCAAGGATTATTATTATTATAATTAGCAGTCATTAGAAGTTAGCCTGCACCAGAAGTGAGGGTGGGTGCATATTGTAGGTTTGTGGAGTGCTGAGTCTCTGGATGAACCCCTGGGCCTTTTCTGTTTCTTTACATCGATGTATCCACAAAGTCCTGTTATCCCCATGTTTGTTTTTCTACAATGCACTGACCAACAAGATGTGACAGAATGATGATAATTACAATACAATACAAAATTACATTGTGTAGCACCTTTCACGTCGGGATAATTAATAATTATACTTAGAAGTACTTAATTGTATTCAGTACAAGGGTCTAACTGATGTTGCACCGAACATGACGATGGATCATTATCTGCCATGAAAACATTGGCGTTCACTCACACCCATCCTCTGGACGTCTCAATAAAGTTAATATGACTTTGTGAACACCCTGAAGGTCTAATTTTTCAAAATGAGGAACTCCAATGGACCGAGCCCTTCTTATTCACTAACAGTGTAGCGTTTGAATGCTTTGCCCCCTCTTTGCCAACTTCAGTTCACACTTGAAGACTTTCCTCCTCTACCATGTCTACAATCATCTCCTCTTTCACCCTGGCTCAGCGTAAAGCTCTGGCGTTGTTCAGCTGTGTGAAAGGCCCTGGATAAATGTAAATTGTTGCTGTTCTGAAGGACCAACCTCTTTCCCATTCACTGCCGTTGTGAGCATTCTGGTTCCAAACACCTAACCTTACCTACTGATCTGTTTATTAGACCCAGCAATAGACGCCGTTTGTCCCCTCCTTTTAAAGCTCTAATGAGCTGCGTTTCTGCAGTGTTCTGTTTGGGTTCAGATTATACCATTGACTGAATGGGCTGAGAAATAAAGACTTGCAAATTGCCTCTTTAACCTCCTGCTGAAGGTCCGAGCGGAAGGCTCTTGTGCTGCCAGAGCGCATTGTCTGTAAGGTGACTCTCACAACAACAACAATAACTTGAATTTATATAATACCCTTCATGTTGGCGCTATATAAATGCAAGTCTAACTAACAATTTATATATGTTTAGCGTTTCCTCTTTGCTTTTATATTCTATACCCCAATTTATAAAACCCAGGATGCCATTAGCTTTTTTGACAGTTTTGTCAAAAACTAGGTTCTCACTTGTAAGGATTTATGTACATTAACTCCCAGGTTCCTCTGCTTTTCCCCTCCTTTTAATATTTACCCCCAACATACACTGGTTCTACTTATTATTCCTTCCAAAATGTATAACATCACTTCCTGTGAAGCGCTTTGATGACATGATAAGGTGCAATATCAAATGCAAGGATTATTATCACAGAGGAGAGGAGATTTACAAGAATGATACCATGGATGAGAGACTACAAATATGTGGAAAGGCTAGAGAGGCTGGTCCTCCATCACCTCCAACAACTGCTCTCCTCCCCCCAGCGCCTTCCCATGCCAGCACAGGAGATGCAATACCTGCCCTCTGACCTCCTCCCACACCACTGTCCAGGGCCCCATTATTATT